AAGAAAGAAAGAAAGAAAGAAAGAAAGAAAGAAAGAAAGAAAGGTTAAGTAGAAGCCTGGAGTTGACTAAAAGAATTCTGGGCTGCAAGTATAATTTGGGAGTTACCAGTATATAGATACATTCAAAAAGGCATGAACTTGGACAGGACATCTAAGTGTACTTGGAGAAGGAAAAAGGTTCAAGGACAGCCTTGAGACAATCCAACATTAAGAGACCAGGAAAGAAGTACCAGAAAGCTGACAGAGGCCAATGGAAAGAAAAGGAAAATCCAGGAGTATGGATGCCAAATGAAGAAAGTGCTTCAGACAGAAGAACTAATCCACTGTGCCAAATGCTAAGAAATAAAGTATAAGAAGGATCTGTAACTGGCCACTGAACTTAGCAACATGGAGGATACTGAAGATCTCTGACAACAGCAACTTTGGTAGAATGGGAGGTGTAAAAGCCTGATCACAGATAGTGAGAGGAAAGGAACTGGAAAGAGTACATACGTCCTGAAAATCACCGTTTCTTAATAATTTTCTTTAACATGATTCCACTTGCTTTCTAAAGGTGTTCCAACAAAATTTCATCTACTTGTTTTCAAGCCCTGTGACCCCCGCTGTGATAACTTTTGACTACTTCTGAGCTCAGTCCCCTGATTTGAATCCCGTGTTCTCGTGTGTGTGTGTGTGTGTGTGTGTGTGTGTGTGTGTGTGTGTGTGTGTGTGTGTGTCTCTTTACTAGAAGATCAAGTATTTGTTTCAGAAATTTTATGTAAGGAGGTAAACTTTGGGTCCTTGCATGTCTGAAAAAATTTTCATCTATCCCTCAGACTTTGGGTATAGTTCAAGAAAAAACATTTTTTTCCTAACTCTGAAAGGCATGGTTTTCCAGCATCCCATGTTGCAATATGGCATCCCATTCTGCCAATTTATTTCTCAGTTTTTGGTAAGTAAACCAATTTTTCTCCCTGGAATATTTAGGATATCTTCTTAATAAGTGGTATTCTATAATGCCACAAGGACTTTTTTAGCGGCAGGCCATTTTATAATTTCTCCTACACAGCCACTATTGGGCTGTTTTAAATAAGACTCATATCAGTTTGTCTCAAAGATGTCCTTTTTTAATAATGGCTATTTTCACTGTATTTGGCCTACAAAGATTAATCCTTTGTCTGTAAACTTTTCTAATTTTCACTCTATGAGATGGTAAATTTCATCCAATTTTACTTTGAGCCTTTCAGTATTCTCTGTAATAATCTTCTAAATTTCTTGTAGTTTCTTGTTTTCTGCTTCTTTTATTATCATTTTTAACAGTGATTCATGCCTTATGACTAAAATGTAGACTAGAGTCTCTCTGTAGATACTAATTATTTCTATTTCATTGAAGGTCAGCCATGCTCAAGTATCTACAACAGTGGTAAATACTTTCTCATTTCCATATAAAAAAAGGTATAAAAAGAAAAAAAAAAGCAGAACAGGGAGAGGGGAGGATGAATAATAAGAAATAAAAACCACAGTGGTATATCAAGATTAAAATGGTTAAATCATTAGTCCCAAATTTGTATCTTAAGTGAATCAGACACATTGTCTCTGAGTTCTCTCTGAAGAGATGTTGCTTTGCTGAATTAATCTCTTGCTCCTTGTACTATTCACTTAATAAGTAACACATGACTTCTATTTGTGATGCTTATTCATTTCAAATGCAATTATTCATATTTCTTACTAATGGTCATAAAGTAAAATATATAAATGTGTTGTTGTCTAAGAATTAAAGAACTAAATCAATGAAGTATTAATTCCAGATCTTATTTAACCTACAAGCCATCACGTTATCATTTTAATAACCAGCAGCTATAGACAGGCAATAAAAACAACCTTCAAAACAATACAAGGGAAAACGTGCGTGTAGGACATACACCTCCAACAGCAGAATTGAAAGAGTTGTGATTTTAAAGACAAAGGCCTTATTTTATTTGTACTTGCATGCACTAGGTCTATTAAGTGCTTGTTTCTACTGCACTAACACAGTATGTATGTAAATGATTGGACAAATGAATGAATGAACAAACATGCTCCTTTCTCTGATGGAAATAAGGAAATATAATGAAAAGAGAGGGCTAAGTGTTGGGTATACTTGGATCTAAATACCAACTCTGATACTCAGGCAAGTTAAATGAAAGCTAGTGGTAGTTTAAGTGATTTAAAAATATATATATATATAAATAGTAATGAATGAAAGGAACTTAGGCAAACAGAGTAATGAGTGCTCATATTCCTATATGGACACAATATATACTAATATTGGTACACAGTAGACCTACATCTTGAATTGTCTTTGGTATCAACATATTTCTACTCCAGTGA